GTACTTTAAAGTGTATAAATAAGTTACCCGGGCAATTGATTTACATTAGCCAATCAAACGAATGTCTGACCATGACATGTACCCGAAATGCTCGGCAAATGCATATTCACGTGATAAATTCTGTGGCTTATGCACTCAAAAACTGCTTTAACGATAGTTTTTTGATATATAGATGTATTTTAAACCCAATAATACTTGAACAAAGATGTGGCATGCAGCGAGACAACAAGAAAAAAAGGTGCCAATATTTATGTATTTTTGGAACCAATTATACCTTTACTTATCATAGTTCTTTACCAATAGATCAAAGAGTTGATGGTGGATCATAAAAAAAGAGCAGAACGAAGGAGAGCGTACTATGAATCTCGCGTAAGTTTTCAAAATTCCAATCCACCAGTTTGAAATTTTCTAATCGATTTATTCATTTTCATTTCAGCTTGGTGATCCTAGTCAACTACTTCGTCTTACTGGTACAGCGACTAAACTTTTTCCTAATGCGGAGCAACATTATTTCTATGAAAATTCAGAAAAGTCCCTGTAGGCTAGAGTTTCTTCCGAATTTAGTGCATTATCAAATACTAATGTTTCATATTAGGCATTATTTTTTAGTAGTCACCTTTGTGTACTTTGACCATTGTTTGATATTCCTGTTAGTTTAATAAAGACATTCTATTTAACCTAATAAATACATATTGATTAGAATGCAATGGCAAGGAGATGCTGAAACGAGAATTGATAGGTTAGTTTAGTATTTTGTAAGAAGTTCTTGAAATTTTTTAATGTTCAAACTGAAATTTAATGTGTGGTATTGTTGGTAAATGCAATGTTAGATTTGATGGGCGTGCTCTATTAGATTACCTGCCACCAAATCTCCCAAACTTGTCTGTTCTTCCTACAGATGAAAGAGATTTACAAGAGGAACTTAACTTTGAAAGATTTCGTGACTTAGTCGAAAATGAGCGTCGTAATGGTTAGATAGTTAAATTCAACTATTTGCTTTATTTATTTATTTATTTATTCATTTTAATTCATAAATATCGTTGATCATTCTTAAACTAGTTTCAGAAGACAGCTGTCTTGAAGAAATTGAGGCCGAATGGACAAGTCTATTGGAAAGACATAAAGCAATGATCAAAAAATTACAAGAGTATTTATGATTATACACATGATATATGTTAATCTTTTATTCGAATAACCTTTAACAGGCATTTACATCTCTTTAGGAAATCTGATACAAATAATCAAGGTTTTGGATATGATTATGGTGCAGAGAAGCAGGATGAAATCCCTAGTGATGAAGAATCACATCATCTTGATGATATCCATTCATATAATGTTAAAATGGAAAATCATTATTATAGTTAGCCGATCTTTCTATTATGTTTATCTTAACATATTTTTTATACAGGAAGATATTTTAGATTATGTGGATGATTTAACTGATAAAGATCGACATACGTTAAATATCATGGGAAAAAAATATCAAATCCCAGATTATACCAGATTATTACGTATCGCAAAACGTGACAGAGAAGAAAAGGCACAAGAATTTAAAGAAAGTCAAAAGGTAATATAAGTAGAAATATTATATGCAATGATATTAAAAACGAATAAGGTTGTTGAATGTAAATTGACAATTATTTTGAAGATCAAAGAACGAAAGTCGCGGCGTCATACGTCACGAAAAGAGGAACATGGCGAAAGAATTCACACACAAAATCGGTAAAATATTTAATTGATCGGAATTTTTTAAGTTTACTCATATATAATCTAAACTTCTTTTAGATCTTATTCAATCAGAGATTCTCCTACATACGAACCTTACACAGATTCGTGAGTAATTTTGAATTTTTTTGTCACTATGTATATTTTATGTGTAGTCTAATACAGTCATTATTTCTCTAGCGATTCATCAACTAGCGTGTCAGATGAAGAAGAAGTTGGAAATTTTGTGATTGAATTTGGAAATTCTGAAGAAAATGCATTGGAATCGAGTTCTTCTCGACCCCATTATTATCATAAAGAGGAAGTATCTCTAACACAGTCGCAAAAAGGATCATTGTCATATACACGGTTGGTGAAGTTTCTTTTTCCACACTATGATGGATCCGATTACCAAGAAACCTTTACGATAAGTGAAGAAAATTGCGAATGTCTACAATAGACTTGTTGAAAAAA